ACAAGGTTACAAGAGAAAAAGTTTCATTCCTTCTCACTCACAGATAACAGTTACAAGGATGTAAAAAAAAAAAAAAAGTTAAAGTGGCTCTAAGAGTCCAATTAATTCCCATTACGTGATAAAGTGGTGCATTTGTAAGGTCTTCTAACACAACATTCAAACAGTTGCTATGGAAGGGCAGCTGCAAAGCCGTTGTGCCACTTTTCTCCTTTCAGGACCTTTGAATCTGACAGAAGATTTTAGAATGCACTAAAAAAAAACAAACCTGACCCTAAAAACATCCGACAGAAATTCATAACTGCAAAAGAAGAGATTGATGTTTTGGTTATTTTCAGCGCTCCTCAGTTAAGAAATTCATTGCATGAGAGGCACCGGGCAGAATTACTTATACTACATCTGTGCAAATAGCCCTTTTGGAAGTGTCCTTAAGTCCTCTGCATTTCTCACATGTAATCTGGATATGAATTACTTATAAAGTAATAAAGGTGGGATAAAAATCTAGTAAATGAAATGAAGTACTAAATATGAAATGAAATAAATAGGCCTCTTTTCTTCTGTGTCAGAACAATGTAACCTGGCCACTGTTCAAAGCTTTGCCGCAAGAATGTATATACGATAAGAAACACCATGAGTAACTTAATCATAAACTTGCCAGTTACTTCCTGGTCATTTGTTGCTACGGCAACAAATGTATACAACTGTTGCAACTGTATTTGTGCCCCCTTCCCATTAAAAAAAGGGTGGGTTTAATACTTGCTAGGTCTTGTTACACAGAAGAATATTTCCTTCCTGCTTCCTGCCAAGGGAATGAATATAACATAAAGCCTGCAGCAAAGATTACACCTGAAGTTATAAGCTTGGGAAAAATGCTGCCCATTGAGTAGAAGAAAACAAAGGAGTCCTTATATAAATAAGGAAAGCTGGGAGAACAAAAGATTGTGCCTTCTTCAACTTCCTTGATTTATACCAGCAAAGTCTAATGTACACTGCGGCTTACTCCGGATAGATACTTTTTACTATGTGCACGCACACACACACAAAAACTAATTTTAAAAAGCACTTCTGAGTTTGTAAACCAAGTTTGTATTTTTCCCCCCAAAAAGTCAGTTCTTCCCATTCTTTGGAGTATAATTTTTTCCACAGTGCTAAAAGGCAAGAAAAGCTTCATCATCATGGGATCATGGAGAACAGGGTCACCCCATTCAGTTGAGGGATCTACAGCCCTACAATTCCATTCTTTTTCCGATTGTGCTTTGGCTTCCTTTTATTTTATTTTTATACTTCTTAGAAAACTCATTCTTGATAGGCGGTGTAGGAAGTTAACACCCACCCCTCTCCTAGAAAAATGAAATACACTGGGAAATATTAAAAAGGCAGAATATTTTCCCTAAAAAGAGTAGAAACTCAGAAGCAGAAACTCACCTTAGAGAGGCAGAAACTCAGCCCCCCCCCCCTTTGCTAATGGACCATTAAGGCCTAGGCCAGAGTACTCTACATAATAAAGGCCTCTATGCATCTCACCACCTGGCCTGGGAAGATTGTATCAGCCAACACTCAGGTGAAGCCATGTGGTCCAGACAAAGCCTACAAAGTTAGCTAAGACCCCCGCCCCTGGGAGTCTGACAGTCAATGGGATACATTTCTTACACAGGAACAGGAAACACTAAGGTGGGGCCCAACAGAGGGTATATAAGGGTCTCTCAGCATCTTGGCCACCCTTCTCTCTTTTCCTTCACCTTGGAGCATGTGATCATCCTTCTTTGGAGCTTCAAGCCATGTGGTCCTGTCCACCATTAAACCATCTTTCCAAATACCCTCCATGTTTCCAGTCTCTTTTTCCCCACTTGGAACTGAACCCAGAAGGATAATTCTTCCAACACAGCTTACATACATAGAAGGTATAAATGAAAAAGGACCTGAATACAAATGATAGATTCAAAATGATTTCTGCTTTTTCCTCAGAAATTGAGGAAGTATTGCAGAGATAAATAAGCTAAGTCACCTGCAGATGCATGAAAACATGTTATGTTTCTCATTTCCCCCCAATTAGTAGGAATGTTCGGAGAAAGCTATAGAGTCAGTTTGGTTGTCATGAGGTTATTGTAGAGCTATGGTACAGTATTCTCTAATACATGTTTGCTTTGAAATATCCAAGCAAGCATGGAGGGGAACAGGCCAGCGCAGCAATAAATAATGTTCCACAATTGTTGATGGGTTTAATTTATTTTCTATCCATTTGTTTGAAGTAGGCAACCTGGTGCTTTCAAATATGTCTGCATGGCCAACTGCAGTGGATTGTGTGAGAGAGGCAGTCCAAAATGTCTGGAATAATCCAGAAACTGGCTAATGTGTTCTGAGAAGGCTACCCTCAGCTTCCCTTTCCCATCTTATCAAAGCAATTTATCCCTGGAATAATCCAGAAACTGGCTAATGTGTTCTGAGAAGGCTACCCTCAGCTTCCCTTTCCCATCTTATCAAAGCAGGGGAGGGGAAGTAAGGGTGACAGTAAAATAACTATATCATGAGATAAGGCATGCAATACTCTTTAGACTTGAAGCCAACCTTGGCTGATCTCAAAAGTAGAATCAGATGGATTAATATTGGGATAGGAGATCCCAGGAAATCTTAGGACTCTGCCCTTAATCTAGTAAATTGAAAAAAACAGCTTAAGGAAAAGCAGGAGACAACTATTTTCACATGGTTGCCAAGAAAATAGCAGAGCCATGGTCATAAAGTTACCAAGCTTTGAGCTTGATGTAAGGGAATCTTTACCAACGTTTACACTTAATATCCCTATCTCTTGCAAAAAGTTGAAGAAATCCTTATACAGCTCACTAAATTCTCCCCCCCCCCCCCTAAAAAAAAAAACCTTTTGTGGCATCTTAATTTCAGGCAGCTACATAGACAAGTATGGAGTGTTATTGGGAACGTTTTAGAAGTAGTTTGCCTTCTTGAGGCTGAGCGAGAAGGATTGCCTCAGAATCATCAACTGGCTTTGTACTTAAAGTGGAACTAGAACTCATGCTCTCCCAGTTTCTAGCCGGATGCCTTATCCACTACACCAAACTGGCTCCCCATGTTATCCCCCTTGAAGTATGCTAAAGCTTCTTTTGCTATATGAATGTCAGGCCTGATTCTGTGATGCTCCATTTTCCAAACCTCGGAGTGTCAGATCATGCTGTAACTTTGGAAGTCTCAACTTCCAAAATGTTATTTGTTTATTATGTGCACTTATTCAGGTTTGAGGCCACCCAATTCCATAGCGACTCTGGATGGTGTAAATATTTTTTTAAAAATCAAAAGAAAACAAAGTATGCTAAATAAAAAGTTTGGTGCAAGTCAAAAAGGGTGGGACCAGTACAAATTTCTGGGAGGATATCCTTCAACAGGGCAGGTGCCACCATCAAGAAGGCTCTGTATAGTTAATTTTCTGGGATTCTTCCCATTGCAGCTCCAAACATTTCAACCGAATCTTCAGACTTCTTTTTTTTGGCTACTTTCCAAAGAGCTAAAGCTGGCATTTTATAAACTATCAGTTCCCCTTGTTAAGGTATTTTCTTCATTTGAATGTTGAATTATAAAGGATGGGTAACGTTAATTACTTTACAGAATGAATCTTCATCAACATTACTTTAAATTCTTTAACTTAGGAACAAAACCAACATAAATTTAAGTATATTTGTTTTATGGGCAAGGGGAAAGAGTATACTTGCACCAAACAAAATATTGGCATGTAAGCATTTAATTTCCCTTCTTCTCTGCCTTTTCTTTGAACCTGTATTTCCTTTCCATTTTTAAAAATGCCGTTGCTTTTTATTTCTTTAAATTAAAATAAGTTTTGGGCAGTAAGTACTCACAAGTGACAGCTGAATAGCTAAGGAATGACAGCACACAGATCCTCATCGGCAGAGAGCCTGTGGAAAAAGTGACCAGCTAAAACAAACAGGTTCTGATTCAGGCCATGGTCTGGGTGTGGGAGAGGCTGAAGGAAAACACTCACAAAGGAAAGTTCCTGGGATCGTGCTTGCTTAAAAAGTTTAAAATCCTACGAATTCTTTTGCCATGGACCCCAAATGCAAAATCTGTTTTCCTTTCCACTGATATGGATCCTCACTTAAATGTTCCACAGTCATTATTCCAGTTCAAAGTGTGTGCTGAAGATGGGAAAGGAAGAGTTGGAGGCTCTCACTTATGGCAACCTTGCCCAAACAAGAGTCTTCATGTGTTTTGGACTTAACACCATCTCCGCAGTTCTCATCAGCGTAGGCAGGAGAAACCATGAAGGTTGAAAGTCAACCTTTTACTTTATTCTCTTTTTTAGTCCTCCGGGTGACTCAATAGGGATAGGAAAATGAGATTTTGACTCTATTGCAAATGTACCCCTGGAGCTGAGAGTTTCATAGCTAGAGAGACAAGACCTAATCAATTCCAGCTTTCAGAGTTAGTACAAGAACTATACAAGTAGAACCTGAGCAACGGATCCTCATTTAAACCAATTATCCACAGTCATCCTTGCAGCCAATGCAAATTTTCTTAAATAGGCATCAACAACTATTGTATTGTATTGTATTGAACTATTTGTACAAAAAATGGATGCTGTGTTCAAGACAGTGTACAGTTGAAAGAAAGAAAGAAAGAAAGAAAGAAAGAAAGAAAGAAAGAAAGAAAGAAAGAAAGAAAGAAAGAAAGAAAGAAAGAAAGAAAGAAAGAAAAGTGTTTAATATCATGAGTAAAAACTTAGTTTTACCTTTGTAAAACTGACCATAAGTCTGTGTGGCTGGCTCTGTAAAAGCACACTTAAAGAATTTCATACGCTTTAAAGTAGCCATTCAAAATTATTTTAAAATACACTGAAAAAATATCATTGGGATTTCTTGCTTTCAGTGTACTTTAAGAAAATTGGACAAAGCGAACATGTTAACAAAAGCTTCTACGGAAAGGCAGTCATTTCCTGTCTGTTTGCTAGAGACTGATCTGTATTGTTTGCCACTTCCAGTTCCAGTAATGGGAATGAACACTTGACCAATATCTTGCCAGTTTGTAGTACTTGGTTGCTGAAAACACATCTGCCCCATTGTCTTCCACTGGGACTTTTGTGCTGCTGGAATTTCATTTTTAGAAAAGATAAAAGTCCTTAAAGGAGAAAACTATTAGAACTCATGATCATTTCTTTATGCTGGAGTTTCATGTTCGCTTTCCGATTACGAGATGTATTGCCTTTTGCTGTTGATCCTCTTATTTTGTAAGTTCTGGATGGGATACCAGCAGTAGAAACAAATTAATACATGTCTCCTCCTACCCATTGTTTAATGCTCTTCTCCTTCTCCTTCCTCTTAGGCAGCAAGGCGAAAAGTCAAGATAACGGTGAGTTTGCATGTTTTGAAAAATATATACCATTTTACTCTGAAGAAATGTGAAGTTATACAAATATTTATTGCTCTAGATCTGCGTATATGAGACAAGTATTTGGCCCAGGTGAAAATTTAAAAGTCACAATATGTTTAAAGTATAAACAGAATGTTCTTTATTCCCATCTTCAGCTTCTACAGTGGTTATGCTGTGGGCTAAGTTATTCTATTATAGTCAACTCTACAATTCCCTTATGGCACCTTTAAAGTCTAACAAATTTATCAGAGTAGAAGCATTCTGAACCACATTCTTTTCATAATAATCATGGAATATTCTGAAATCATATTACTATATGAGTGTGTATTACTATATGGAGGTAGAAGCTATTCCTATTGTATTTCAGTAGGCATAATATTCCATGAACTCAAATAAGCGGACTGCAATTTGCTAAGGTTCGATCCATAAAGTATTGATTAGATTTTAAGGCACATAAGATTGTTAGTTGTTCTTCTAATATAGAAATCACAGTAGGTATTGATTGAGTTTCCTCATAGACTCAAACCATCATTATAATTATCAACTTTAATCATAATCAACACTAAATCTTACATTCTTCACTGTATACCTGTTTTGAATTATCTAGAATAGCTTAAAGGTAGGTCTCCTATTTTTCAAAATTGTCAATAGCTGTTGTGCCTTCATTGGTAATTCAGGTTGAAACCCTAATACAGGGGAAGGGGGAAATCTCTTCTTTTTGTCTGTGAGAGAGAGACTGAGACAAAAATTAACAGTGGATGTTATAAAGTCACTGATTTTCATTGCTCTTCAAAGCAAAAGAGAATTTCCAGAAAGCATTTGTCATTCCTGGAATATTATATGGAGGTTTTCTCCTTTTAGAATATGGTTGGTCCAAATCACTTTTGGCACCCAATGGGGACCCCTGAAGTTATCATTCATGTTCAGATTCCCCATCATCACCAATGTCATTGACTGGTTAAAGAAGTTTCTTAAGACAGGATTGGACAAGTCACATCACATTAAGTTCAAACCATAACTTTAACGCCACAAACCCTATTCAGAGGATACCTTCTTAAGAACTGTGGTCCTATTTTGGAAGTGAAGAACAAGTAGCAATTTTTCCTATGTTGTAGAAATTTGAAAAAGTCCCTTGTATTCATGTAGGAATAGATCTTACCAGATTATGTGAGGCAAGACTACCCAAACTTTTTGAATTTTGAAGTATTCAAAAGAGCCTCATTGCTGAAAGAATATAGGTTATTATTGGAGGGGAGAGATAGACACTAATTTAGTTATTATGTGTGGAAATTGCAATATTATAAACTTTGAAAAATATTTTACTAAGTGGTGGTTTTGCTCAATCATTGTTTGTTGACAAGCCATAACAGCCAGAAGGGTAATAAACTACAGTTGTTCAATTCACACAGTATACCAAGTTATAATGGGGTTTATAGGTTTTTGTTATAAGTGTGATGTGTTGATGTCTGTTGTCTCCTCTTTTTTATGTATTAGCTGTGACATTCAGTATGAGGTCTGATTTAACGATTTAAAGTTGCTAGAAGAAGTAAAGGCAGCTATGTATAGGAGTATCTTTCTTCGTTAACTGGAAAGTGAGAGCTGTGTATGCCAGGAAAAATATACATGTAATTAGGCTTAGATAACTTAGAACTATGCTGCCTTCGGTCTGACCTAAGCATAGTACATAAAATTATCCATTACAATGTCCTACCATCAATAACTACTTCAGCTTCAATCTCAACAATACACAAGGACACAATAGATACAAACTCAGGGTAAACTGCATAAAACTCGATTGCAGGAAATACGATTTCAGCAACAGAGTGGTCAATGCCTGGAACACTCTACCTGATTCTGTGGTTTCTTCCGCTAACCCCAAACACTTTAACCTCAGACTGTCTACTATTGACCTCACCCCTTTCCTAAGAGGTCTGTAAGGGGCGTGCATCAGTGCACCAATGTGCCTACTGTCCCTTTCTTAATGTTCCCTTTTATTCATATCTATTTCATGTATTAATAATCATGTTTATACATATATATTATCAAATGCATGCTTGACAAAATAAATAAATAAAATGTTTACTTAAGTGTGTGTGGTAAACAAGAAGAGAAAGAGCTAAAGATGTAATGAGTGAATGTGTGAACTCAATAGAAAAAGGAGTGACCAGTTTGAAAGAAATAGGGCATAGTGGTTTGGTAAAATAGTAGGAATGAATTAGGAATTTATATAAAGGAAGAATAAATGGGCTTGAGAGGAAAAGCAATAAAGGTTTGTTAGATGGAATTAATGAGATCCTAAAAAGAGTGAGGTGGCTTTAAAAAAAGAAAGGGAGGGGGGGACACAGAGATGAGAGAGAGTCAGAGAGAGGGAGGGAGAGAGAGAGAGAAAGAGAGAGGAAAGGAGAGAGAGAGAAGAGGGAGGGAGAGAGATAAAGAAAGAGATAAAGGTAAAGGAAGGGGGAGAGAAAGAGGAAGAGAGAGAGGGAGGGAGAAAAAGGCAGGCAATATATCAATTAGTGCCTAGCTGTGATTGAATCAAGAATGTTTTGGAACAGAAGAAAAAATATAAGAAGTGTAATGAATCTTGAACCACAAATTAGGTTTTCTCTTCCTTTTTCATATCTTCTGCTTCCAATTTCTTTTGCTTATTATTTCTTTTTGCATTATTTTTGTTCAGGAAACATTAATTCATTCACACATAATATATATGAAATTTCTACATAAACATTTCAATAAATAATAGTCATATTTCATTATAATCTTCCATAACTAATATAGCTTTGTAGGCAATTTATTGATATGTTGCTAACATCACTTCTGAAAGCCATTAAGTAGCTGGAGCCTTATGGTTTGCTTTCAGTGTTGAGAAAATAACGTTTTTATATAACTATAGTATAAGTCACAGGGAATCAATTTTCTTTGTCCAGAAGTCAATTTGCAGTTGATAGAAATAATAGAAACTTCTAAGGATATTCCCACAGAGGAATTAATCTATGTAATAACTTTCTCCTTAAAAGGAACAATTATAGGGTATTGAGCAAAAACAAGTTTAAATGAAATGTTAATCTCATTATATCTACAACTGCATGAAGATTTTCTCAGGCTTTTTCTATTTAAGTGTAACGTGTTTAAAATATATATTTTTGTTGAATAAGACAAAAGATCTACTGAAATGTTTGGCTTTAATACCTCTTCCTATTGTTTGGGCAAAATAGGAAATCTCCAATTCTTTATTCCATTCAAACATTAAAGCTTGCATATCAAATTGATTAATAACTAACTTAAATTTATGATGCGCAGTTTCAGGGTGTACGAATCACATTAATAATTGCTTGTGGTACGCGAATGTTTTGGGGGCTAAAAATGTCACAGATCGAAATTGGGATGTCAGTAGATGTTTTTATTGTCGGTACTGACAAAGTAATACATACTAGGCAAATTGTATTTGTGCTTTAAAATAGAAAAGGATAAAAATATACCTTTGATAAATTAGAATATATGTACTTAGTGCTTTCAAGTCAATGTTGATTACTGGCAATTGCCTGGACAAATCCCTGCAGTTTTCCTAGCAAGATTTTGAAAGCGCCAGTGCAGAGGGAGAGTGATTAGCCCAAAGTCACCCAGCTGTCTTGGGGTCTAAGATGGAACTAGAATGCATGGTTTCCCAGTTTATAACCTGCGGCCTTAACCATTATACCAAACTGGCTTTCTTTCCATATAAAAGCGTTCTTTTAAAGATCTGGATGACCTTTTTAACGTCTCTTTTTAATGAACAGCATGATTACAGGTTTCACATATACATACAAATATGACCATGGTTACATATTCAATTTTTATATCCAATTCCTTAACAGTGCTTTTATACATTTTCTATTTTATTTTTTATTATTCCAAATATTTATCTCATTATTTAATTCAGTTATGATAACTTCATAATCATTATACTTTAGTATTTTAAACTGTCACATTTGTATATTTTATCTTAAATTCTAATTAAAAAAAGACATTCTTCTATAAATTGGTTTCCCCCCTGAAATCTCAATATAAGTGTGCCACCTCTAAGTTATAAATTCATTTATTTTCACCCCTTTTAAATCTTGCTAAAACATTTAACATTATTACCTAAAACATTAAACTTAATAATCCCTTTAAAACTACATAGCATATATAAATTAGATTCTGCATGATTTTTCTCCCTTTAAATTTCATTAAATTCCCCCCCCCCCCAAAAAAGGACATATTAATCTACTCATTCAAACAGTAAAACAATCCTAAGCCCTAAAGTTAATTCCATTTCAGCTCTCCTTCTATATCAGAGATGTTAAAATATGGAAAACTGAATAAAACTTGTTTAAAAAAAAGATCTGGATGACCTTATAGGTTTAGGAGAAAACGGATCAAAGAACAATTTCCTAGAAATAAGATACCATAATCTTTGAATCAATATAAGAGGAATATATCTTCCCATTTTTTGACACTTTTGCCTGTCTTGGGAGCACTGAATATTTCCCTAAATATAGAGAAAGGTCCCCTTGGGTAAATGATCCAAAATCGTTTTTCAACTCTGCTAGTTGGTAAAAATGACACAATGGCAGCCTTGTTTCAAAATATTCAGCAAGACATGTTTGAAATTCTCCATGAAAGTGTTTTGGTTCTGTGTTTCTCATATTGTGTTCCAGAGATCACAAGATTCCATGAGAATTCGATGGAATTCCATGAGACCCTAACAGCAACCCCCCCCCCCCCCCCAAAAAAAAAGAGAAAAGAAAAATTTTAAAAGTTTATTTGAACACATCCATTTTTCTTTGATTAGGGTTTTTAAACTCTTGATAATATTGCTTTATCTGTGTAGTGGGGAGTTACCCAACATGTTCTATAGCCTGAAAAAGTATGAAAACTTGTATTTTAGTTATTGGATTCATTGATACCTAGCACTTACATGTTGCACATGTTGCTCTTTTATAATTAATAAGACCATT